AGGTCACGGAAATAAATAAATTTTCAAATGCCGTATTTTTCGTGCCATAAGACGCACCTGACCATTAGACGCACCTAGTTTTTAGAAGGGAAATGCAAGGGGAAAAAATTATTTAAAGGGAGCGCTGAGCAGAGCCTGTGTGCATCCCAGGCTCTGCTCAGTGCTCCCTTTCACGAGCCGCGTGGAGCGTGTGTGCGGCGCTTGCAGGCTTTTCCCCAGGAGGGAGAAAAGCCCCCAAGAGCCGCACACGTGCTCCACGTGGCTAGTGAAAGGGAGTGCGCCTCTTGGGGGCTTTTCTGGGAGGTGGGGGAAGGGACTGAGGGGCTGCCCTCTGTCCCTTCCCCCACCTCCCGCAAAAGCCTGCGGGAGCCACGCTCCCTTTAAGGAGCGCGCAGCTCCTGCGGGCTTTTCTACGAGGAGGGAGAAGGGACTGACTGGCCACGTCAGTCCCTTCTCCCTCCTGGGGAAAAACCCGCGGAGTGTGTGTGTGGCTCTCGGAGGCTTTTCCCGCCTGCCTCCCGCCTGCATTCGCTCCATAAGACGCACACACATTTCCCCTTACTTTTTAGGAGGGGGAAAGTGTGTCTTATGGAGCGAAAAATACGGTACCTGTAATAGAGTAGGATTAAGTACATTCCATGGAGTTCAATGGAGCTTAAAGAAGAAGAGTCCTGTTGGATCAGCCCGCAAGCAGGCCTAAGTGCAAATTCAAGGCAACTGGTATTTAGAGGCATACGTCCTCTGACAATGGATGGCCTTCCTGGGACCCCTGAGATCTCTCACTGCAGTGAGACCGCTGTGTGTGTAGCAAAAGCAAACGCCTCAAAATGATGCTCAGGCTGCAAGACTGTACCCACTTGCCTGCAAATAAGCCCCATGGAACTTCACGGGACTCACTTCTGAGTAAGACATAGGCAGAATTATATTGTCAAAGGGAGACCATCCGGCTTTGAGTGGACAACCGCAATAATCTCTTTGCCCTGGAAGAAAGTGATATGCCGAACTATATTGGGTGCACAATATTTTCTAATATGTGCATTCACGTTCAGCATCCTTTTTGAGGCATTGCCTCTTTTTTCTTTACTTTTGCTTTTTGTTCTGGTCAGTAAGATCAACTAAAGAAAGTAAGGTCCACAAATAATAGCATATAAGAATTTTACTATTATCTGTTTGTCTATATTAATAGGCCGATTATGCAAACAGCAAAACATCCAGCCTTTAAACCCCTCTGTTCTTTGGGAATAAATTAATTGGTGCTCCTGTCAAAGGTTTCTGGAACATCTTAATAATACCCTGTCCATCTGGCTGGGTTGTTGACATGATCGCCCCTGAGCACTCTCTCCCAATTATTTGGACCCCTGATATAATCCAGAGCTTAGAGCAAGGGTCAGCAACCTTTTTCAGCCGTGGGCCGGTCCACCGTCCCTCAGACCATGTGGGGGGCAGGACTGTATTTTGAAAAAAAAATATGAATGAATTCCTGTGCCCCACAAATAACCCAGAGATGCATTTTAAATACAGTGGTACCTCGGGTTACATACGCTTCAGGTTACATACGCTTCTGGTTACAGACTCGGCTAACCCAGAAATAGTACCTCGGGTTAAGAACTTTGCTTCAGGATGAGAACATAAATCGTGCTCCGGCAGCACAGCAGCAGCAGGAGGCCCCCTTAGCTAAAGTGATGCTTCAGGTTAAGAACAGTTTCAGGTTAAGAACAGACCTCCAAACGAATTAAGTACTTAACCCAAGGTACCACTGTAAAAGGACACATTCTACTCATGTAAAAACACGCTGATTCCCGGACCATCCATGGGCCGGATTGAGAAGGGGATTGGGCCGCATCCGGCCCCCGGGCCTTAGTTTGCCTACCCCTGGCTTAGAGCAAGAACAAGCTGAGAGACGGCTCGAATGCAAATGGAGGAAAGATCCAACTGAATGCCACCAAACACTGGTGAGGCGTCATCATTGAGCCTACCTGGTGGCAGTGAAGGCAGCAAAGAAGGTGTTTTGAGGATAAAATCGCTTGCATCCACCGCGATCATGAATCCCCCGCAATTGCGCATGAATCTCATGGGGTGTCCAGAGCACAGCCTAGTCCTGCTGTGTTGGATGAGTTTCTGTTGATAAGGCTTGAGGATGTGGACAAGGTGCTCAGATCGGTTAGGGCCACCACGTGTGCTCTAGAGCAGGCATGTCCAACAGGTAGATCGTGACGTCTGGACGTCTGTGGTAGATCACTGATCATAGGCTCCCCCCAAAGAAGCTGAACAACTGTGGCTCCCCTAAAAAAAGCTCAACATTTTACCTCCTCCCTGAAAAAACTCAACAGCTTTGACCTAACCCCCCAAAAGGGGGTAGATCACTGCCAGTTTTTAACTCTCTGTGAGTAGATCACAGTCTCTTAGGAGTTGGCCACCCCTGCCCTAGACCCTTGCCCCTCTTGGCTGATAAAAACCAGCAGGGAGAGGACAGCTGGCTGGACCAGGGAGGTGGTTCATACTTCTTTACGAGAAGGGGTGGTCCCTGCTTGCTTGAAGGAGGCAGTGGTAAAACCACTCCTTAAGAAACCCTCTGTATGGATGTTATAGGGACAGGCAAGTGTCAAGCTTGTTTCTGTGAGGAGGGCATTAGTTACAAGGAGAGGGTGCCACCACCAAAAAGGCCCTCTTTGTTTTGTTTGGTGGGGGAACCTGGAGAAGCCTCTCTGACTAAGACCTTTAAGCCTAACCTTTTTTTTTTTTTCATTTTGTGTGAAATAGGTAGCTTGGGTAGGAGGATATGTATATCATCAGGAAAGAAAGAAAGAAAGAAAGAAAGAAAGAAAGAAAGAAAGAAAGAAAGAAAGAAAAGGAGAGAGGAAGGAAGGAACAATGTGTTTAAAAATGAAGGCTGTGAGCAGGCTTGTGACATTTCAGGGGGGTCGTAGATGACCTTTGGGGCCCTTCCATCTTGCCAAAAAGTCCAGGCATTACAATAAATTATGTCAAGCACAAATGTAAACAAGAGCTTGAAGGGTTGCTTTCGGTGGCAGGAGAAACTATTACAAATACTTAAGATACCTTTCCTTTCGTTTACGGATTAGACCTATCAACGTAAATAAAGCTAGGTTTCATTTCCTTTAGCAGCTGCTTTATTCGAAGTGCAGAAACTTGTAAGTTTCTGTTTCTGCGAGGTCACGCGGCCACAGTGGATTCCTCTGCCGCGCTTGGCAATAAGCCTATCTGCAATCCTTTCAGGGCCAGCCCTGTTAAGTTGGGACCCTTTGATTTGCACAGAGGGCAGGTGAGCTGGCTTTAGAACGCCCTTCCCCCATCCAGTTTCGCCAACAGATTGGTACACATTAACCATTCAGTTTTACAGAATATTAACCGTAATGAGGCAGAGCTCTGCTCTGCTGCAGATATAAGGACGTCGGCGAATACATTCTGCGGAGTCAGACCACAGACCCCTCTGCCTCAGTACTGCCTACACTGACTGAAAGCAGCTTTCCAGGATCTCCTAGCCCTACCAGGAAATGCCAGGGAATAAACCTGGGACGTTCTGCATGCCAAGCAGGTGTTCTGCCACTGAGTTATGGCCACAAACTCTGAGAAGACTCCAAGCCATACAGGCGATATAAAACGGCATTCCGTGAAATGGTGTTTGCAGGCCACTCAGGAAGTAGCTGGGGGTGCAAGGTGGCTGTAGCACTGTTCTGGGCCTCAGAGACTATGGTGTCCTACCCCACCCCCTGCCCCCAGCAATATCCCAGCTGACACAAAAGGTAGTGTAGAACAATCTTTTGTTAGAAGGCAAGGGAATTTAAAAAAAATTATAAAAATAATTTTTAAAATAATTACAGCGGTACCTCGGGTTGCAGACACTTCAGGTTACAGACTCCACTAATCCAGAAGTAGTACCTCAGATTAAGAACTTTGCTTCAGGATGAGAACAGAAATCGCGCGGCAGCAGCGGAAAGCCCCATTAGCTAAAGTGTTACCTCAGGTTAAGAACAGTTTCAGGTTAAGAACGGACCCCCAGAACGAATGAAGTTCTTAAATCGAGGTACCACTGTAATTACTAATCCTTACATTTTAGCCAGCATAGCTGTAATTTGTTTGCAGTGATTAAAAACCTTCTGTAGTTAATCATATAAAACTTTTAGCTGACTGATGCACTCGGTCCTAGTTTCAGATTCTAACTCCTAACCTGCATTCTATATCTGAATGTAGGTGCTTCAAACGGAAAGGGGGTGTTGCTGTTTCTAATTTTCTTCTCCATAGGTTTGAGGAACAGCTTGTTGCTGTTCATGTTTGCCTTTCATCTCATGAACAGTAGCTATTGCCGTTTTGGTTCTGTTCCGGCTGTTCCTTTCCCACAGCAACAATACTGCAGCGTAAAAGGGCAAACTTTACCCCAATAAAGTAAGCCACATTGCAACAATACTGACTCATCCTGTTTGGTTCACTCCCACTCCAAGCCAGATAACCGCATCTGCTGTTATGTCTCAGTGCGATTCTCCCCTCTGTTCCCAAAACAACATCATTTGGGCACGTTCAAAGCCAAGGGGACACCTTCTCACCGGCAGCTCCTCCGTGCCCTGGGATCAAGCAGAATGATATTCAGTGGTACCTCGGGTTACAGACGCTTCAGGTTACAGACCTTCAGGTTACAGACTCCGCTAACCCAGAAATAGTACCTCGGGTTAAGAACTTTGCTTCAGGATAAGAAGAGAAATCGCAGCGCAGCGGCAGCAGGAGGCCCCATTAGCTAAAGTGGTACCTCAGGTTAAGAACTTTACCTCAGGATGAGAACAGAAATCACACGGCAGCGGCATGGCAGCAGTGGAGGCCCCATTAGCTAAAGTGGTACCTCAGGTTAAGAAAATTTTCAGGTTAAGAACGGACCTCCAGAACGAATTAAGTTCTTAACCCGAGGTACCACTGTAGATGTGCTTCATTCTTTCTTATATGGTGTCCGTAGCTGGAGACTGGTGTAGGTCAGGATTAACAACACGGTGTCCGTGAAGATAACTCTTTATTCGAATAAACCAATACAGCACAGGCCTAGTGATCCCAGTAGGGAGCTAGTCGCAGAAGGATGGGGAGACTCCCTGGATTATTCAGCAAGTAGTAGTAGGATTCCTTCAGCATTCTTCATTTGTTGATGATCCAGTTTCCATTAATGTAGAATCATAGAGTTGGAAAGCACCACGAGGGTCGTTCTAGTCGAAACCCCTGAGATGCAGGAAACTTGTTGCCCAGTGTGGGGTTTGAACCCATGTCCCTGAGATTAAGAGTCTCGTGCTCTGCGGATTGAGCCAGCGAGAGGTCTACTGAAAGAGAAGAAGAGAAGGAACCCTAAAATACTACACCCATCAACAGCACATCTGATCCTGTACTGTGGCCAGAAGTAATGCATCCTTCATTTGAATATACAGTGATTTCCTATGGGCCAAGTGAAATCAAGGATACGGCATTTCCTCTAGATGAGAAACCTTTGCTGAAAGGGTTTGATACAGTGGTGAGAAGCTAAGAAGGTGCTGGCTTGTCTTTCGGAGGGTATCAACAAGGTTTCTCTCTTTGCTTCTGCTGCAAAACATTTGCAGAGGCAATTAGCAGGGGCAATTAGAAAAAGATATATTATTTGATCAACTTTCTAACATTCCTCAGCTTAAAAAAACCCACAAAAACCATCAAGCCTATTGGTTCACATATTTTATCTGTGGCTAAAGGATCAGGAATCACATCCATCATTTGCATTGATGTAAACCTCTGGAATGTACAGTCATACCTCGGGTTGAAGTAGCTTCAAGTTAAGTATTTTTGGGTTGCGCTCCGCGGCGCTCTGTTACTTCCGGGTTTTGCTGCTCGCGCATGCGCAGACACTCAAAATGATGTCACGCGCATGCGCGGAAGCGGCCAAACGCAACCCACGCACACGCAGACGCGCAGTCACATGTTACGTTTACTTCAGGATGCAAACGGGGCTCCGGAACGGATCCTGTTCGTATCCAGAGGTACCACTGTATTTAGTATAGCTAGCTATTTAGCTCCATCCCAAGTATATTTTATCTTATTGCTATGGTTAGTGGCTAATGCGAGTAAAGTTTCTATCTATCATCTATCTATCATCTATCTATCATCTATCTATCATCTATCTATCTATCTATCATCTATCTATCTATCTATCTATCATCATCTATCTATCTATCATCTATCTATCATCATCTATCTATCTATCATCTATCTATCATCTATCTATCAATCATCTATCTATCTATCTATCATCATCATCTATCTATCTATCTATCTATCTATCATCTATCTATCTATCTATCTATCTATCTATCTATCTATCTATCTATATCTATCATCATCATCTATCTATCTATCATCTATCTATCTATCTATCATCTATCTATCTATCTATCTATCTATCTATCTATCTAATCTATCTATCTATCTATCTAATCTATCTATCTATCATCTATCTATCTATCATCTATCTATCTATCATCTATCTATCTAATCTATCTAATCTATCTATCTATCTATCTATCTATCTATCTATCTATCTATCTATCTATCCCAATGGTGGCTCTGCTAGGGTCAGTTCTTCCTTTGGGGAATACTGAGACCAGTTACTGGAAACACTTGTGTGACACTGTGAATCAGCATGAAAAGTCACTCCGGCATTTCACGGCATACAGCATTTGGGTAGAAACACCATCTAGGTGTGGACTATATAAATGCATTTATGCAGAACGTCACTGCATCATAAACCAAGGAATTCAGCAATGGAGGGGCGTGTTCAAAAGCCTAGTGGCTAATACATTGTTAAATATAGGCACTCACTGTGCTGCTTTATATGCCTGCTAAAAACAAGGCAGTGCAATGTAATAAGTACCATATGTGCAATATGATTAAAAGAAGAGCAGGGATCAGAACAGTTAAGTCGGACATGCTCTGATAGTGCGAATGGATATGCGACTTGAAGGACTTATGCTTCAAGTTTGATTTCCCTACATTTCCTCAGAGGTTCCCATCCTGCAAAGACTTATATTTGCAAGCAAGAGAAAGGAGACAAAGACTTGAATGCAGAGCACGACCTTTTCCCTTTACTGATCAGAAATAGGACCAGACCTTCATATCTGTTTGGAATAGAGCCCATGCGTGGGACTTCTCCACCTTTGAGTACATGCCCAGAATTTCTCATGCGACAAAGAACATTTTATCTGTGCTCACACACAGAAATGTAAATCCATTGCATAATCAGTATATTCTCAAAATAAAACCGTGTTGTGGTTTTCTCTCACTACGGTGGTGTTTGAAATACTCTTCAAGCACACGTTTTTATTTTCAGCCTCCCAAATGCCAAGGCTATTACTCCATCTCAGCAAAAAGATACAAGCTGGATATTTCTGTTGTCATCTGTTTTGGTCATAGAATCACAGAATTGCTGAGCTGGAAAGGACACGGGGGGTCATCTGGTCCAAATTCTGGAATCTCAACATATGGGTCCCCCATCCAATTTGAAACCATAGTAGGTGTTGCTTCGCTTTGCAAATATGTTAACAGGTTTGGGTTTTTTTAAATCAAAGCCAGCATTGAACCATCATGGATGCTTGATGGTGTTTGTTGAATTCAGCAGTGCTAACATAACAATAATTAATATGTGATAGGATTTGGGGCAGTCCAGTGGACATACTGAGGTGCATAGATATCTAAACAAATTTCTAATTTGCATTTCCAGTGTGAGGCATGAAGGATATTTTGCATATGGAGCATAAATTATTACTATTATTTTATATTTATTTACATCCCACCTTTCCCCCCGACAGAGACACAAGGCAGCTTATAGATAAAATAGGAACAGCTAAAAACATACACAAAAATCATTTTTTATTTTTATATTAAACATTAATAGCATATATCATCTATTGAAAACTTACAGGTAATTACCATTTAAAAATGGATTTTCAGATTGAGGCTCCAACATACCAAAGTTTGCAGATGTCGATCTTTGAGTAGTTTGGACAGAAATATGAGGTGTTACAATAGTGATTGGATTTGATCCAGTTACTTGCATTTAGTTTCTACTGAAATCAGTGGGACTTAAATTCAACTGACAGCTTACAGGTGATACAGCCCAGAACCACTGGCATACAAAGCTTGGGACCCCCTGTGATGCTGCACATGAAAGGAGCTCACATCATTGCCTGGTAAGACCATTGCAACCAACAGTTGGAACCTGATGAGCCTTGCCATGGCCTGATGATTATCATCTTGTGGTCACATGGAGGTGGGCTTTCTCATGAAGAGCACTGGTGTTTTGGAATGCACTCCCTGATGAAATATGTGAGGCCCCATATGTATTGGTATTCCGCGGGCTTTAATTGCTGCGTGGTATCAATGGGGTAGCTTTATGGTGCATGTTACTTATGGATATTTTAAAGTCTGTGTAATGGGATATACATAAATACATGAATAAATAAGCAATCTGTGGAGAAAAAAAAATTAAATTCAACTGACAGCTTTTTAAAAAAGAACAATCTGAGTGAGAGACTGCTGGTGTCCTTCTACCGAGGCTCCATAGAGAGCATACTTACATACTGTATTTGTGCTTGGTTCTCCAGTTGTACAGCTAGGGAGAGGAAGGTGCTCCAGAAGGTCATAACCACAGCCCAAAGGATTATTGGTCACCCTCTCCCACCTTTGGAAGAACTGTACGGTTCCCGTTGCCTTAGGAAAGCAAACAACATCCTGCAGGATCCATCTAACCCAGGATACAGTCTGTTTGCACTACTGCCTTCTGGCAGGAGGTATAGAAACATCAAGTCAAGGACAAATAGACTGAAAAACAGTTTCTATCCAAGAGCTGTGGCCTTTTTGAATGCTGTAACTCGATAGTGAGACCTGGGAGTTTGATGGGTGTGGGTGTGGCTGGAAGGTGGTTTGTTTGGTTGTTGTTGTTGTTTTGCTTTTGTTGTTTTTAAGGGATGGCATCCAATTTCGTTGCACTTGTGCAATGTTGCACTTGTGTAATGACAATAAAGAATCTATCTATCTATCTATCTATCTATCTATCTATCTATCTTAATCCTATACATGCTTTCTCAGAAGCAGACAGCTCTCTGACCCATCAGTAACAGCGGTTAGGCTTATGGAAACCAAAGACGAGGTCTGCTTAAGTGGTGGTCCTATACTTATGGGATATGCTCCCCAGGATGTGGTTGGGCAACCAAACCCAGACGATGGGTTGATAACTTAATTTCCCCATAGACCAACTTTATAGGGATCACTCACCTTTCCTAATACTGTAATGGCATCAAGTAATTAAAAGCATAGCTGTTAATGTTTCCCTTTTTTTAGGGGAAATCCCCTTATTCCGAATAGGATTCCTCGCAAGAAAAGGGAAAAGTTGACAGCTATGATTAAAAGGTGTCAAGAGTTCAAAAGGGGTCACTGAACCTATCAGTGGTTACAGCAAGAGCCTTTAAAACGAGCTCATTGGTGCTTTGCAAAGGGATTTGCTGTAACTGCTAAATTCATTGGAGATCCCAGAAAGCCCCTTTGAAGTCTGCTTAGAGAGCCAACCTGCAGACATCCTGTTTTGCCTCAGCAAAGAAAGCTCTGTTTGCAGAAAGCAGTTTGGATCCAAACTGTTTCCTGCAGAAGGAGAAAAGGGAAAGCACACCCCCTCAGCAGTGGGGCTTCTTGCCAGTGATGATCACTTTAGGTTTCTGATTTTAATAAGTTAAATACCTGTGTAGGGCAGGTAGGCATGATTTAGTCAATAATAGTCAAATGGGGGGACCCAATTTGGGCCTAATTGATATTGAGGGCCAGAGACGCTCTTCCATCACCCTAATAATTTTTTTTTAAAGACTCTCATATCAGCTTTTAATTAGATCCATATTTCATCCATTTTTATCCCCTGTGCCTTCACTGCCTGCTCCTTATTTTAAAGGGGGCTAAATTTTGCCTTAAATTGCTTCTGCATGGCTTTTGCAGGCTGCCTTATGACATTTGCTCTAATTATATAAACCTTATAATGCAATTTATACGTGTGTGTGTGTTTTATTAAAAATTTGTTTTACAATTTAAAATAAACATTGTACATACTTAAAATATCAGAGACTTCCCTTATATCTTATATCTCTGCATATTTTACAACAACTATATCAGTTTTTCATTATTACATCCATCACAGATTATTTACACTGCTGAATTTATCTTAATGCTGCCAGCATTTTCAGCTGTAGTTATTTTCCATATACTCAATAAACATCTTCTTTAAATGTATGTTCTTCTGGTTCTCTTATTCTATATGTTAAGTCTGCAAGTTGTGCATATTCTGCAAACTTAAGTTGCTAATCTTCTTTAGTTGGGACCTCACTCTTTTTCCATTTGGGGGCTAACAAAGGAGGGACCGCAGTTGTTGCATATATAAATAATCTTTTCTGACACCTGGGGATTTCAGTCTGGGTTATCCCCAACAGAAAGGACTCTGGGGTTTTGCTTTTTTGGCAAAGTAATTTTAAACCTTTTTTCCAATTCATTATAAATAATTTCCCAACCCTCCTTTACATGTCCATCACGTATGAAAGAACATTCCCTCCAGCTCTTTACACTTCCAGCACCTGTCTGATTTTGCCTTGGAAATCTTAGCAAGTCTACGAAAGCAGTTTTGATATTCATAGACGCGGAGAAGGCCTTTGATAACATATCTTGGAAATTTATGAAGAAAAATTTGGAAGGGATGGGAGTGGGAAGGGCGTTCCAAAATGGTATTGAAGCAATCTATTCAGAACAAAAAGCTAAATTGATAG